TTTATTTTTCATTACTAAATTAAGTATCACATTATTTAAAAAACAGTTGTATTTAAGAGTAGTTGAGGGTTTTTATGATAATTCAGAATGAGTTAGTAAATGATTAATAAACTATTGAAATCAACATTTATATATCTTATTATTCAGGCATATAGTAATAGTTATACTAATATGTTAATAAATGCTTTATTGTTTCAACTTCATGCAGTTTTGTGACCTGATCTAAAGTGAGGACTATTCATGCTTTATAAATCCCTTATAAATGACTATTAAAAGCTCAGAATCAAGTGAACAATAATCTTTGCAATCTTTTCTAAAAAGTGAAATTAATGTAAAGTTTAAACATTGCTAAATTACAGGAGTGTCAAAATACGACATAAAACTGGATAAAGCAACAACAATATAATAATTTAACAATATAATGAGATGCGATGTTTAAACTATACAGTGATTTTATTTTAGATCAGGTTGCAAAGATTTATTTTTCTGTTGAAGTACAGTTTCATTTGTGTATCTTTAAATGAATAGGAATGAATCATGTTGTTTTTCCTGTTTATAATTTAACTGAGCCTTTATTTGTCATTTATAAGGGATTTATAAAGCATGAATAGTCCTCACTTTAGATTAGGTCACAAAACTAGGTGAAGTTGAGTTAATAAAGCATTTACTAACATTCATAGTAACCATTAATATATGCCTGAATAATAAGACATTTAAATGTTGATTTCAATAGTTTATTAATCATTTACTAACTCATTCTGAATGATCCTAGAAACCCTCAACTACTCTTAAATACAACTGTTTTGTAAATAATGTGATAATTTAGTAATGAAAAATAAATCATTAACAAAGTATGAAAATACAAGTATTAAGCACATTTGAAATATGTTTATAAGTCAAGAATAGAGCATTTGTAGCTGCAGTTATAAACTGCTTACTAACACTTATTAATGTAGAGTTAATGCTTAACAGATAATGAATTCGCTATTTGCTAATGCTTGATAAATGATTTATAGTGTGTAGTTATTATAAAGTGTTACCCAAATAATCTCTCCTATCCTCTCCGTATGCACCAGACACCTTTTCAGCATCACTCCATACTTTCATACATTGTGCATTTTTGGTGCACTCCAATCAGGTGAGTGGGCTTGATAAACCACTTGCAGGTGACAGTTGTCCCCTCTATATGCACCAGACACCTTATAAACACTGCATATTTGTGGGAAAACATTGTGCAATACTGAATGTGCTCCACAGGTGAATAGGCTTGGGAAAACTAACACAGACTGCTCATGGCATCTTTATTTTGCTGCTCACCGATATTTTTAAATGCTTCTTTTATCCTCATTTAAAAGTTGCTTTAGATAAAAGCTAAAGGAATGAATGTAAATGTCATCTACAGCCATCACTCTCGTGTTGTTCAGTTAATTCCCTTTTATTTATACACAATTGTGTAATGACATTTCAATCTATTTTTCCCTTTATCCATCTGAATTTATAATTTTACACTGAAAAAAAGCACACATGATGCATTCCAAGAGTATTTTCACTTCACAAGTTCACTCTTCCAGCTATTCCACATTTCTGTGCACTCATATCTCCTAAATAAAACAATACGAAGAGCTCAATGAGTTCATGTAAACATCGATGTACAGTATGGGTAGCAGAACATGAGACAGTCCATGTTCAAAAGACAGAACAATGTGAAAGTATTTATACTACAGTGCGCTATTTAACAACAGACTGTGATTCAATTGCATGTCTTGAGCATTATAATATAGAATAAAACTGAATTAACACTGGTAGGAAAAAAGAACAGAGCTTAATATAAACTCAGTATTGGTACTTTCTGAACCAGCCGAGAGAACATTATGATGCACAGGTCAAATATTAATACATCATTAGTTTAATTCTGCCTCTTCTTTTAAAATTCGCTGCTAATTTACTCACTGAAGATGAGTTTTTTATTTCAGTTGGATGATAAAAGAGGACTTATTATATGAATCACCACAGTTTGAGATATTAAGTCAACGTACCAGCACTTTGAGAGTCAAAACAAACACAAAACAGAATTAATAATCATGTCTCCTGATGATTCATTGAAGAATTAAGAAGAAATTGAACTTTACGTATTAATTATTATTATTATTTGCACTCATTTGACTTCAGAATACAGTGATGTCAGTACTGTAATAATTAAGTGTTTCCTGTGTGTTTTTTTTTAACTCTTAAAGTTAAATGGTGTTCATTCGCATTGATGACCACGAGTAAACATCACAGACGATGATGAGTAAACACTGGCTATTCAACATTCTCCTGATTTTCCTTGATATACACAATTATCCTCTGCACATCTGAGAGAACAACACTTGCAGAAACAAAATCTATTCGCTTGTACAGACACACATTTAAATCATTAAATAGTTCTAATAAATAATCAATAACTGATTCCTTTTACTATCATACAAGCCTTTTATTTACAGTAAACATCTTCTATGGGTGAGGATGCTTATGTGACGTAGAAACATCCCACAAGATTTCAGATTTATGGATTAATAAATTACTAAGATCTTTCATGGGAATTTCTGGAATCTGTCTAAACAAAAAATGTATTTTTAATGCAAATTTGCATTATGAATTTAACTTTAAAGCATTTTAGAGCTAATCTAATAGAGTCAGTTTGATTTAACCGAATATGAATGTCATTTAATTAAGTTCAAATGCCTTAAAGGTCTTTGAAATGTGCATTCTTCATTCAAAATTTAACATAATTAATCTCAAGTTTTTACGTTTAGGTTGTTATTATCAGGTTTATGTCTTGATTTAATAATAAATAACATTAAAACTAACATACTGATACTAATATCTAAAAACCTTTAACTCACAGGACCTTATTAATAACCCAGAGTAACACTTCAGGGTTTTTCGGATGTGGGCCTTATGAAGAGTTAGGTAATATGATAATGTTTTCGACATTAAATAAGACATTGACAACCTCTGAGAACACTTGCAGAAGATTCTCCTTAAAGCTGAAGGCCACGTGCTGATCTAGAAACAGTGAGAGGTAAGTTCAACTATTAAAGGTGCACTATTGATTGAATTTTGCCGAATGATGTTGATGTGCAGTCAAAGAGAACAGTTTCGCCCTCGTGAAATGTTGAATTCTTTTTCAAATATTTCCCAAGTGCTGTTTAACAGGACATTTTCACAGTGTTTCCCGTAATATTTGTTTCGGTAACACTTTAGAATAATGCTCTATTAGTTAATGTATTTACTAACCGTATTTACTAACCTGAACAAACTATTAGTAGTACATTTATTTCTGTTTGTTCATCTTTGTACCATTAGTTAATGTTATTTAAGTTAACATTAGGTTATGTTAGATTAACTGATGTTGACAAGCACAACTTCAAAGTTGTTAATCCTGCATTAGTAGTTAATGTTGAATTATGATTAATAAGTGCTTTTCAAGATCATTTATACTTGATGTTAGTAAATGCATGAACTAACCTTAACTAGTGGACTGTTAATCTAATGTGTTACCATTTTTTCTTATGGAAAAAGTCGTATTTATTTTATTTTGGCTGGATTAAATGCATTTTTAAAAAAAACATTTTTAGGGTTAATATCATTAGCCCCCTTAATAAATTATATTAAATTTTTTTCATATTTAATTATATTATTTTTATATTTATAAACCTAATTAAGTGTCACTTTAAGCTGAATAGTATCTTACAAAATAACCAGTAAAATATTACATACTGTCATGATTGCAAAGACAAAATCAGTTATTGGATTCAAAATTAGTTTTAACTTATCGGCCTCTACTTTAACGATCTAGGCGCAAAGTCTGAAGCGCATGGCACAAAAGCATTAAGGGCGTATCCAAATCCACTTTTGCTATTTTGAGGATAAAAAAATCTGCTTTGCGCCGCAGCGCATGGTCTAACAGGGTTGTGCTTATTTTCTTAATGAGTTCTGGGTGTGTTTTGAGCATTAAACCAATCAAGAGTCTCGTCTCTCATCAGAGCCAGTTACGTCGATCCATGGTCCATTTGCTATTTACATGACGGACTTTATAAGTGTAAAAACTGAACGCTTTACTAGTGAGAAAAAAGTTAAACAGAACATCTGCAGCGCGAGGATAAAGAACGAGCCTCCTCCATTCAGCCTCTTTACTTTACTCCTTTACTTTGGTGGAGTGAGGAAACGGTGGAAACTCCCTCCACTCAACACATCCATTAGCCCACAGATTTAATTTAGTGTGTTAAGCGAAAGAAACTAATTCTAAATTCAGTTCTGATCTCCAGCAAAGGAATAAATGAACAATAATAATGAAGTGTGCTCAGAAAACTGAGTTAAATCCAAACACACGTCCTGTTCTAATGCCCCATATGGTGATGCAGACGTCTCCAAAACCCCACAGCTGGACACATCTACACTTGTGTTTATTAAAGCAAATATAAATCTGCATATAATCAATAATACTGCAAATAATAATAATAATAACATTATAAATATACAGATGGTCATGAATAAACTGAAAAAGCCCTCCGAGGTGAAGAAGGCATGGAGGCAGTGCTGTTTATATTGATGTAGAAAATAATGAATTCTGTATCATTTTAATCCTTTAATTGTTTTCATCTGGAAAGATATTTGTGTGTTGCTGATCATCCTGTGTGTGTTAAGCAATGTGTAAGTGTTTGGATCTGCATATTCTCATAACTAAAGCGATCTGTGCTGGACTTTAGTGCAGCTTTTAGCTGGTCAATGGTTGGTCTATTTCAGTTCCTCAAAATAGCAACACACCAACAATGCGCCTTAACACACCTGCTTTATAGACCAGTACACCTATGACTCCACAAAGTGGCACAATTGGATTTCCTATTTATACAACGTGGTGCAAAACATGAAAATTAGGCTTGCGCTGGTCTGAAAATAGCGACAAATCGCGCCAAACATGTCTTGCACGTTATTGCGCCGGGTGTATGATTGGACCCAATATGTTTAAAAATGTGTTTTTCAGCACTTGAAGGAAATATCTGAAAAATAATCTCACAAAATGGCTAATAATTTAGCATGAAAGCACCAAAACAAACATGCATGTTACACCACAGGCCCCGCCTCTTTTGATGTATCAGCTTTAGTAACAACAAGCCACGCCCTCTTGCTTCTGATTGGCCGTGAGTGTTGTTTCCCTCAATATCTCAGTGCACCTTGAATCCCGTGTGTGATGCTGGTCAGTCTCGGCCCTGTCCGAACATCTGCAGCAGGAAGGTGAACAGATACACGATGTCCAGATACAGGCTGAGCGTGGCGAACACGTACTCTTCAGGACTCAGCGTGTACTGCTTATTCCCCATCAGCAGCTGCGTATCGAAGGCTAGAAACTGAGACACACACAAACACGTGGGTCAGTCTGATTTACGATACTACATGTTATAAAGCTTTGCCTTGTGTTCATTTTTATTTATTTATTTATTTTTTGAGCCAACAAATATTTATAAAGGACACTAGTGAAATGTTTTTGAGTGCATCTATAATCCTCTGAGTCTATGCTGACATTATCTTCAGCAGCTCAAACACTAATGGCTAATGGACAGACGGCTGCTTCTCACTCAGGGCTGTTGTTTATGTGGGCGGGGCTTTCCCCCTCTGATGACACGTACAAAGGGAGAATGTCAGTCAAAGTTTGGTGATATTCACACACTGCTGACACACAACTTTGTTTAAACCCCTTATAAAATTTAATGTTTCATAATATGTCCCCTTTAACTTATGATTTTAACTGTAATGTAATAATATTGTGCACTTTTGTAAAGCTGCTTTGGAATGATCATTATTGTGTATAGCAATATACTTGAATTGAATACTCTTCAGTGTTGACCCTGCTTCTCACCATTGTAAAGACGACGGCTCCTATGCTGGAGTAGACCGCGTGCAGCCATGGAACATAGCCGAAGGGAACCACAAAGCCCATGACGATGGCGCAGAAAAACATCACCATACACAGGATGAAGAGCAGACCTTGATAAGATGTGATGTCAATCTGGAGAACAGAAAGTGAGATTATATTTTACATGTATATGACTGATGGAGATACTCACGGTTTAATTTATTGTGTTTGATTATGTGTGTGTATTCCTTACATTTTAGAGACCAAATGTCCCCACAAGAATAGCAATACTAGTAAAATCTGACCTCATAGGGCCATTCTTGTGGATGTATTTGTGTTATGTATATTTGTTTGGGGTGATGTACAGTATTGTGAAGCCAGAGAGTTTAAATAAAGTGAGCAAAGCACAGATGAAGCCGAGCTTTCGAACATCAAAACAATAATAGCAATATAGCTATGCATTGTGCTCCATCCAAAAGTTTTATGCTTAATATTTGTGTTGTTTTACCTATAAAAGTATGTAAACGTTCTTAATTCAACATACATTTATTTGAGGTTTATTAATTAGGATTAAACTTCATAAAAACTATCTACATTAATAAACATCTACAGTTGAAGTCTATTATTGAAATATTAATATTGAAAATATTAGCCCCTCTGACTTATTAGCGCCCCTGTTTATTTTTTTACCAAATTTCTGTTTAATGGAGGGAAGATTATTTCAGCACATTTCTAAGCATAATAGTTTTAGAAACCTATTTCTAATAACTAACTTATTTTACCTTTGTCATGATGACAGTAAATAATATTTGACTTGATATTTTTCAAGACACTTCTGTACAGTTTAAAGTGACATTTAAGGTTAATAAGGTGAACTAGGCAGGTTAGGGTAATTAGGCAAGTTATTGTATAACGATGGTTTGTTCTGTAGACTATCGAAAAAAAATACAGCTTAAAGGGGCTAGTAATTTTGTCCCACAATTGTTTTTTAAAAAAATGTAAAACTGCTTTTATTGTAGCCGAAATAAAATAAATAAGACTTTCTCCAGAAGAAAAAATATTATCAGACATACCGTGAACATTTCCTTGCTCTGTTAAAAATCATTTGCAAAATATAATAAAAAAATACAAAAAAATCAAAAGGGGGCGAATAATTCTGACTTCAACCGTATATAAAATATCTGACAAAGATATCTGAATTCAAAGAAATAACCAGAACCATTGTAGAAAATCTTTAGCTGCGTCCCAAATGGCACACTATGCACTCATGCACCATGTACTTATGCACTTACACACTCAATAGGATAGTATATATTTATATGTAGTGTCGTCCCAAATGGCACACTAACCGAAAGTTCAAACCGTTTCCCTGATGACGTTTGACGGTCGCCAAATCAGTGAAATAAACGACCGAATTATCAAATAATACCTGCCGTGAGTATAACCGCATTCATCATCAGGAGGTGCTATAATCACTCTCGTAGGAGAATTTTGCTTTCACCATCCAAAATAAATAAAGTTATCCAACATGTGCGTCCGATAGCTCCGCCCCTTCCGCTACGTAAGCAAACCTGCGGTCGTTGAGTGCGTGAAGTGTCCATCATTACACACTTCATTTTAGCGGCTGAATGAGTGCATCATCCGGGTAATTAAAGTGCTCTTATTATTTTTAGAGTTTTCAGTTTGAACACACTACTTACACTATTTATACTACAATATGGCGTACAACAGTGCATAAGTATGCGATTTGGGACGCAGCTTTTGTTGTTGGATCTCTCTGATACACCCACTGAAGGCGCACCACATGGTTCACAGCTGCAGCTTATTACCCTAATCATTGGTTGTTGCTAGATCGGATATAGTTTGCGGCTGGAAGTTAACGAGAATTATTTATTAAATTTCCCAATTTATTGTATTTTATTAACGTCTACCCCAACCCTAAACCCAACTGTCACAGTAACGTAAAAACAGTAGTTGTACTGAGTATTATTCATTTTATCTATTAAATTACCCAATAAATTGTATTTTTTAACATCTACCCCCACCCCAACCCAGCATTTACTAATGCATTAATAAAAATTGTTCATGTTAGTAAATACATTAATTATCATTAACTAATACAACCTAATTGTAAAGTATTACCAAATATTTTTCCCCAATACTGGATATCTGACACAAGAAAATGATGTTATTAATGCGTTTGCTGACCTTGCTCTGAAAGCTGAAGAGCGTCACACACAAACACACGACCGCTGTGATGCCGATACACAGAACCACCGCTTTAGTGTTGTAGAAACTGCCGAAAAGAGGAAAACAAACACTCATCATCAGCACATCCGCAATAAACATCAGCATCCAGCTGGAGAATTTACAAACACACGACAAAAATGCCCTTACCTGGAGATAAAACCCAACATGCACGCCATGCTCAGAGTCTGCGTTCACACAAACACATGCAAAATAAAAGGGAAACAATGTATTAATATTTACTAATGATATTCATGCAATTAATTATTAATACTGGTACTAATAAATGTTTAAATAACAAATGTTCAATAATTATTTAAATTCATAATAAATTACGTTAATTAATATATATTCGTATAATTTGTTATATTAATTAATATATATTCGTATAATTTGGTATATTAGTTTTAACAATAATTTATTACATAACATTATTAGTACAATAGTACCTGATAAAATATGTACATTAATAAACATGTCCATCAATAGAAAAAGTTGACAATTCTCAGATTCGCTGGATTTATTACGGTGTTTGAGTAAAATTATATATTTTTATTATTGCAAGGTCTGAGAACATTTCTTTAAAAAACTATAATAATTCAAATAGAAAAAAAAGTTAAGCATTATTAATTAGACAATGAAAATTGGTCAGAAAAGGAAACTGATCATATAGTGTGATTGAAAATACAGGTTACTCCACCAAATATTGAGTTAAAATTTTGCTATTGTGTTGTCTGAAAACATGCCACGCTTAAGCTTTATTAAGTCTTTAAAAAAAATACATGAAATGACAAAATTTTTATTTTTAATTTTGAAGATGTCATCCTTTGTTAGTGCTGGGCAAAAATGAATCCTGATTAATAGCATTCAAAATAAAAGTTTAATTTCATGTAATATATGTCTGTACTGTGTATATTTACTATGTATATAAGTAATATCACATGAGTAGCAGTGCGATATGGCTGTGTATTGGGGAAGTGTGTGTTTTCTTGTGGCTGTAGGCAGTGAGCCTTAGTGTCCCACGATGCCTTAGTGATTCTCTAGCGTAATGTCTAAAGTGATGACAAACCAGGAGATTTTGCTGACATTTTAAGATTATAAGGCTGAACAGCATGAAATGCCTTCAGTCTACAAACTTGTTCCGGTATTTCTGGATATCACAATAATTAACCCTGAAAAAGCCATAACAGCGCAAACACTACCAGATTACTATGGTATATATACAGCACTACAACATAAAAAAGAGAGAGATCGACTTGTCGGAATGTCACTAACCTGTTCTGTAATGGTTTGTTTAGCTGTAGTTAGAAACGTATGCTGAAAAATAAGTATTTCTCCTCTAAGGACTTATTATGTGGTCTCTGTCGCCATCTTGTGGCAGAACGTCAACAGTCTTTGCTCTGCTCAGTATGACAGGTTGATATCAATATTTTAAATAGGAATTTTTATCCTTATAAATAAACTGAACAGTTGCAATCTAAACTACATTCTCGACTAAAAAAAGCCTCAGAAGTACATTATGTTGTCCAACAGTTGCAATATTTGTCAAACTGTAATCCTCTGCTTGCCACTCGTGTGGGTAGAGTAAAACATAAGGGTGAAGAGGCTGTGAGAGTGCTATCAGCTATTCGAGAACCAGACAGAACTGTTGTATAAATATAAATACACATTCATTCATTTGAGTTAATGTTTATTCATATTTAAATATAAAATGTATGTATGTGTTTTATTTATATATATAAATATATATATATATATATATATATATATATATATATATATATATATATATATATATATATATATATATATATATATATATATATATACACATACATACACGTGTATATATATATATATATATATATATATATATATATATATATATATATATGTCATACATACAAAAACACAAAACACACACACACACACACACGTTATGTCAAAACAAACTTTTCTTTTGGATGCAATTAATCGCCATTAATCTTTGCCCAGCACTAGTTAACACATAACTATGAACCATAAATCCAGAGAAACTAAGAATTGACAAAGGTATGACAAAGGTGCACTTTGCTTGCCATGGAGGTTTCCACAAGTAAAAACACATCTTGAATGCATCTTTAAACAGATACTCACAAAGACTGTAAGCAGAATAAGATTCCATGGAAACTGCCTCCTGAAATACACAGAGCAGAGGATTGAGATTATTAATTTACAGCCTATTTTTTAAAAGACAGCAACTAGTATTTAAGCATTAATCGAGATTTTGATTAACTGACCTCAGATCACCACAGCAGGCCAATGAAATGTATGTGATAAGAAACAGGAGACTGAAACACACACACACACACAGTTAGAGGTTCACCAAAATAAACACCTTAATTATCATCATGTGTGTCTTTAATTCCTGATTAAAAGCAGATTTGCGTACTTGGAGGCGGAGTACAGGATTGGATGAGTCTGAATGTACATCCTGACTGGAGCGCTGGAGCAAACACAGAAAAAGATAATTGAGACAGTTGGGAAAAGTTGTCAATTACTAATTATTACATCATTAAAATTGTATTTTAAGTTACTTTTCTAATTAGTTTGACTGAAAAGTAACTTAATTACTCAAATTAATTATTAAATTTAATTACCACTTTAGTCATTTTTATACTAAATATTAATATAAAATATTAAATATAATATTACTATTTATATATATATTTAAATTTTACAATAAAATGAAAATAAATTCGCAGTAATAAATAAAATCTATCAAAAAGTAGTGTTTTAGCCCTTTTTTTCTATAAATTGTACGTACACTTTCTTAAATCAAGACGCATTTACCTGAAAACTGATTGAAATATTAAGTCTTGTTCTCTGGTAAGGTGAAATCATAAATTATGTAAGTTTCTATTTAAAATCAAAATTGCCAAAGAAGTTAAAAAATGAAAATGTACTAAGAGAAAAAGGTCAAGACAGAAATACACTTCATTTCAATCATGTTTATACAACAGTTCGCCGGCATAATTGTGTATATAAGAAAAAAATCAAACACAGAGAGTCTTAAAAGCCTTTTATATGAGGAACTACTTTTTTCCACCATTCATTCACATGCACCTGACTTTAGAACAGCAGAAACCGCTGCTTATTCACTAACGTCACTTTAGAGCTAGTGTTTGAATGATTCTCTAGCGTAATGTCTAAAGTGACGACAAACCAGGAGATTTTGCTTACATTTTAAGATTATAAGGCTGAACAACATGAAATATCATCAGTCTACAGACTTTTTCCAGTATTTCTTGTGCAATCTGGATATTACAATAATTAACCCCGAAAGAGCCATAGCAGCGCAAACACTACCAGATTACTATGGTATATATACAGCACTACAACATAAAAAAGAGAGAGATCGACTGCGGAGTACAGGATTAGATGAGTCTAAATATACATCCTGTCTGGAGCGCTGGAGCAAACACAGAAAAAGATAATTGAGACACTTGGGAAAAGTTGTTAATTGCTAATTACATTAATAAAATTATTGTATTTCAAGTAAAGTAACTTGATTACTCAAATTAATAAATAAATTTAATTACCACTTTATTCATTTTTATACTAAATGTTAATATAAAATACTAAATATAATATTACTATTTACTAATATATATATATATATATATATATATATATATATATATATATATATTATAATAAAATTGAAAATAAATTCGCAGTAATAAATAAAATCTGACAAAAGTAGTATTTTAGTCCTTTTTTTCTATAAATTGTACGTACACTTTCTTAAATCAAGACGCATTTACCTGAAAACTGATTGAAATATGAAATAAGTAAAATCATAAATTATGTAAGTGTATATTTAAAATCAAAATTGCCAAAGAAGTTAAAAAATGAAAATGTACTGAAAGAAAAAGGTCTAAGCAGAAATACACTTCATTTCAATCAGCTCTCATCACAAAAGACGAAATGCTTCAGTTATTTTGCTTCTAAAGTCAACGTGTCTTGAAGATTTCCAAATGTCCTTTCCCAATGAAAACAAAACAGAAACAGCACAAAGGAGCAGGATTTGCCAGTGAAAAAGTGAAGGAGAGACTCACTGGAAAGTGAAGAGAGCAATAACGGCAACTGTGGAGAAGAGCTGCAGCATCAGAATGGAATAAACCTGCAATACACAACATAAAACACACGTTTCTTACAGTCATCCTCACTCAATAACAACTTAATTCATCTTTCACTTTAATATTCACAGCTCTACCTTTCGTATGAAGATTCGTCTTACAGAAGCGTCGTCCCAGGTAAACCCTCCGTCGCCATAGTAATAACCAGGACATCCTGTGGAGAGATGAATAAAAATAATTATAATAATATTGTGCACTCATAGGTCCATGGATTACTTATTGTATGGAGATGCAGAGTCGTGCAAAGTGAATCTCAGTTCCCGGATGAGCTTGTATTATTTAGCAATTGTTATCTGGGACTAACACACATTGGAATGTTGTGACTAGCCAATCAGAAGCGACTATTCCACTCAAGATAGCCATAAAATAATGATGTATAAAGGGTTAGGATAATACAACTTTTCTGTAAGTATATGATTATATATTTAATTTTTAAATGTATAGCAGCGAGATCTAAAATAAAAATAACTGAACTGAATTAAGTAAATTTGCCAGAAAGCTGACTGTCAGCTGTAATACACACCTGCGTTTGCCTCCTCGTAGCTTGGAGGTTTGCTTCCTTCAACAGCCTGATCTGCTGGAGCCACCTGCGAACATAAACACATTTAGAAAACATCACGGTAGGGCTGGGCCGATAAACAATAGCATATCAAATCGCAATTGAATTTATAACGATAACGATGATAAGCTCTGGACGTTTTGACTCAATATTGATCCTAAGAGCCAATTACACAGCAGAAATATGCAACAAAAGGAATCTATAATTGTGTTCATGTTAGTTATTCATCGAATTTTTGGTCGCAGAAAATTATCGGCTGAGAGTAATGCTGCATCACTCAGTATTGTTTAGCATGTTCATTTCCCTTTCCCGTTAGGAGTGTCCACCTTCAGTCATTGTTGGGATTAGGGTAGGGCTGGACAATATGGCAAAAATTAATATCACGATATATTTCTTAATTTCGGTCGATTTGATATAATTCCGATATCGATATGAACAAAATTAAAAAGACAGGGAAAATGCCAAGAACGCACACAATAGATGTCTGTACCTACGAATTTGCAAAGTCTTAATACCTCCAGGCTTTTATAAAAAAAAATTTTTTACATTTCCGGAAAAAAAATTATAAATTATATATATCAGGGTTCAACGCCAAGGATTTTTTCTACTGATCTGATCAGGCCAGTAGTTTAAATTTTTACTTGCCCTGCCAAAATTTTTACTGGCCCCACCAAAAAAAACAAAAAACAAAAACTAATAGCTATTTTTAGATAATATTTGAAATAATATACCAAAAAATAATGTCTGTGAATCTAGACCTTCAATACATAAAAAATGTTAGTAATTGTATAATAAACAAAATATAAAGTGTTATGCACAAAAAAAGAGCAGTATGGAAAATGTGGAGATATTTTATTGCAGTTCGAAATTATTTAACAAAAGGTGGCTGACTGCAAAACATCACTTCATTTTTATGTTGTGTTGTTCCCACATACATTTTCTTTTATGCAGCGTTCACACCAGACGCGGAACGCGCGTCAAGCGCGAGTGATTTACATGTTACATCAATGCAAACACGCGAATAGACATCCTGTGGCGCAATACGCGCGAATGACGTGAATTGCGCGAATGGTGCGTTGCGAATGGCGCGGCGCGAATTGAGCATTTGACGCGTGAATCACTCGAGTTCGAAAATATGAACTTCAGTGGACATTTGTGCCGCGTTAACCAATCAGGAGCTTATATATCAGGAATTTGTATATATATATAAATGAATTTATATATAAATAAATTATATATATAAATAAATTATATATATATATATATATATATAGTTCAACAGAAAATAAAAGTCACAACTACGAAGTAGTTTAAAAATAGGATACAGATGTAATGCTTGTGTAAGAGTATTAATAATAACTTTATTAAGCTCATACTATAGACTAAATATGATTTAATCCAGTTTAGAGATTAACAGACCTAGGCAAAACCAGGACAGAAGACATCTTGGGAGAGTGTATATGTTTTAGTCACTTCATGAATGTTTATAATTTTACATAAACAAAGAATTAACAATAAAGAATGATTCTTAATCTATATATGATCTGCTTATAGAAATATCCAAGTGTGTCTTCTGAGGATTTAATAAACATGAATGAATTCAGTTCAGTCAGATATGATTGAAACCATTATTTTAATCACTGATATCATGTTATACTTTGGTTTAGTTTATTTATTTAGTTCCTTACAGTTTAAAAAGTAAATTTATTTAATATGAAAACACAATTTCTACTCAGAAATAAGAAAATTTCGTTAATAAGTACAACAAATCTACAGTTTAAAATATGAATTTACAAGCTGTTTTTCTATTTAAATCAACATAATATTCTGTTTTATTTACAATTTAGACAAATCTCTATGTAGCTTATGCTACCACTGTCAGTTCAGTTCAATTACCAAAGTAACGCTAATTGATCTAGTTAACTGACATTCTTACCTTTTTCTGTGTCATTGTGTTTATTTCTCCTCTTCAGTCGACGATGGCGGGTGTTTTATCTCAGTTTTATTCCTCTCTCTGTGTGTTTGTTGTGTGTGTCTCCGTCGTGGAGTCTTCTTTCAGTCTTTATAGTGTGTATTCAGGTTAATCCGCATTAGTTCCCATCAGGCTTTAGCGCTTTCCAGCAGAGTCTCGGAACGCGCTGCATGATGGGATTGATTGAGCGGGAAACACCAGATTCATTAAAACGCGCTCTCCTCGACGGTGTGCTTTATTTTTAGACTCCTGCAGATTAAAAACACACACCCAATGGAGGATTACAGAGCTGAATGGAGAAAGGAGAAGATGCCAGAGCCGATTATTTCAGAACAAACTGCTGGAATCGTGTGAGGTTCGTTTGTTTGTTTGTTTATCGCGCAAAAACGACCAAATGTTGACAAAGTTCGAGTATTACAGTCAGTTTGTTTATAAATGTTTTTATTTTTAAATATTTAGTATTATTATTTTAGTAGTAGGCTTGGTATTAGTTTAATATTTTTGCCATTTTAAAAAAGTCTATATAAATATAGGCTAGTGGTATCAGGAAAATTGAGCCTTCAAGAAAAATGGGCCGTTTAAGATTGAAGTTTTAGTAATTTTATTTTTATTAACTAACTTAATTAATTCATTTTTTTCTTCGGTTTAGGCCCTTATTGTAAAAAGAAATATTGACTAAAAATAGCAGGGTGAGCAGGGGTTGTTGATAGATCAGATACATTTGTGGCCGGAAATTAACGAGAATTTATTTCTATATATTTTTATTTTCTATTCTATATTTTTCTGTTTATTTTCTAATTATTAAATTTCCCATTCATTGTATTTTATTAATGTCAACCCCAACCCTAAACACAACCATCACAGTAAGTTAAAAACAGTAATTGTACTGAGTATTATTCATGTTATCTATTAAATTAGTCAATAAATTGTATTTTTAAACGCTTAAACCCATCCGTCACAGTGCTGTAAACATATTAATTATTGTTATACTTGGTCATTAAATAATGCTGCTATGTTATTGTGCATATCACGGCCGCATATCCAGACTAGACTTTACCGTCCGGCAGGGTCTTGAAAAGTCTTAAAATGTCTTAAATCCCAAAAGTTAAATTTTAGACCCCAAAAAGTCTTAAATCTACTTAAATGTTGTGCTGTAGGTCTTAAATCTTTATAAATGCTTTTGCTTTATATTTGCAGCAAACTGTTTGGAAGCATTTAACGTGTGCAAGAAGATGTCCAAAATCTTTACACACACTGACCAAGGGACTGTTTAGATGGATGTTGCTGTAGAGAAGATGATGGATGGTTACTGTTTGATGACCGAATGACCTTAAACACTCAGATTGACCTTGTACCTCAGTGTTGTGGGGACGTTGCATTTTGTTTGGAAATTAAAATCGGGTCGACATCAGTGCCCAACGTCCAACCTAAAAGCAACTAAATATCAATGCCTAATGATGTTACAGCTTGACGTTGTGTGGATGTTACCACTATGACGTCTATCAGACGATAGATTTTGGTTGCAATACCTGATGAATAAATGTCAGTATTTGATGTCAATAGGATGTTGGTTTAAGATGTTTGCTCGATGTTGGATTTTGGTCACTTTCCAACACAACCTTAAATCAACCAAATGTTAACATCATTAGACATTGTTATTGGATGTCAAAATATTGTCCTTAGATGCTGGATAGACATTGAATTTTGGTCACCTGACATCACAACCTAAATCTAGCCTAATATTAACGTTTTATGACGTTGTGTGCTTGCTGGGCAATAACTAAATGCACTACAGAATGTTACGTTTACACACAACCACAAATAACATGTAAACTCATCAGCTTTTCACAGTGTAATACTCGCTACTCATGAGTACTTTTAAAAGCTCTACTTTTTACTCGTACTTTCAGTAATATTTACAACTGATACTTTTACTCTACTTGCACTACATTTTAGGCAAGTAATGGTGCTTTTACTTGAAGGATTTTCCACTCCAGTGTTTCCTCTTGAATTTTTTCCAGCTGTGGCGGCAGGCCTTTTTTTTTTTTTACACAGATTTACCTGTGGCGTTATTGTAATGACAACTGTTGTGAGCGCAGTATTAGAAGTCGGGATCGCATTTATGTAATAGCCTACGAGCATGCAAATCTCTTCGCTTGCGCGCCAATTGCGCACAAAACTTCTTGCACGCCACCTCAAATATTAGCCGCTTCAAGAGCGTGCAGATCTTCTTGTGCGCTCTCAAATAAACGCTGCTGGGTGCGATTTAGTGCGTTTATGTAACGAGTATGTCTCCAGCATTTATTACATTTGCTAGGAATATTTATGAATGTCTCCAATACCTACAGAGTAGAATTAAGAGTAGGCGACCTGAAGTAAAGTGAAACTGCTATACGTCGTGTTTGCTGGCCTCATGCATCACGCACCTGTCTGTCAGTCAGTCAGTCAGCGCGTCACCTTAAAGAGTAAACAAATGACGCAAAGCAACTACTACGGTTACAGAAAAGTTTGTGCTACTATAATTCACTTACCCTTTAATACGTTTTGGTGCGATTATTACCCGCTAATAAAAAAATAAAATGTTTTGAATGAGAAGCGGTAATGTAGCCGTGGCGCCATGGAAGAATGAATGTAGCGGGAACCATGCACTCTTTCCACCACTAGTTGTTTTCATATACAAATGTAATGTCTTTAATTTTTTATTTATTTATTTGTTATCAGGCCAAAATGATAGTTTTATGTTTCTGGACACTTTGAAAAAATCGATAGATGAAAAATGTCCTGGTAATTATCTGGCAAAAAATTAACTGTTACATTTAATGATATTTTCATCACAGTGCCATTCTTTAGAGCACAGTTTAAATTACAGATGAAACACTTGCCTTTTTTAATAATAATTTTTAGGCGCTTTATTTGGAAATGACAGTAGAGGCAGCAGACAGGAAAGTATTAGGAGCAGAGAGAGGGGAAGGGTCGGCAGATTACCTCGAGCTGGGAATCGAACTCAGGTCCCTGTGAGCACCATGGTGCTATATGTCAGCGCACTTACGCCACATTCATACGCGGCTTCAGCGTCAATGCTTGACTGAAGGCGTGTATGAAGTTGAGGCTTAACGCAATCGTCATCGCAGCGTCAGCCAATGAAATTCAGTCAGCAATAGGCCACTGTCTAGCTGGTGTATTTGCATACAGCGATCTGATTGGCTGACGCTTCCACAATGCAGTTTGGCAACGCTTGACGTCACCCATTCAAAATGAATGGGAAGCGTTGACACTGACGCTCCGTGTGAATGGGGCGTTAACCACTAGGCTGTTGGCACCAACACTCTTTCCTTTTATATCAACAATTATTTTACTGAATATCATTTATAGAGTCTATTAATCATTTTATCCTTTCACTGATTGGTCAGTTTTTCTCCCAATTATCATTTTGCGGTACAGTTTAAAACAAACGACATGTAAACCTGAACGTGCTTATAAAATGTTGACGTCATTGACACTGTTTGGTGTCCTGTTCTGATGTCTCCTAGCTCTGTGTGTGCGTGTTTAGCCTGTCAGCAGGTCATGTGACAGTGATCTCCTGAACTGGTGACATCATCGTGTCTTTTGTAAGGCTGGTTTTGTAATGGTGGTAATCAGCTGTATTAATGTAAAGGGTTTAAAGGTTTATTTTCAGAGTGTCTGGAAGCCTCCATGTCAGCAGGCCACTGTATTGCTTTTATTTATATATGCTACATGATTCGAAAGCACATCACACATCTCATGGTATAGATGGGTATATATTTATATATTGTTTTTGTAATTTATATTTAATCTCGGTAATGCGTTAGTGTTGTCAGTAGAGGGCGCTGCTCTCCTTGTTATCTTCTGATTTTAGTATCGTATAACCTTCCTTGAGAGTGGCGTGGTGGCACAGTGAGTAGCCTGATCGCCTCATAGCAAGAAGGTCGCTGGTTCGAGACTCGGCTGGGTCAGTTTGCATGTTCTCCCCGTGTTGGCATGCGCTATATGGGAATTGGGTAAGCTAAATTGTCCGTAATGTATGTGTGTGAATGAGTGTGTATGGGTGTTTCCCAGAGATGGGTTGCAGATGGAAAGGCATTTGCTGCATAAAAAAAATATACTGGATAAGTTGGCGGTTCATTCAGCTGTGGCAACCCCAGATTAATAAACAGACCAAGTCGAAAAGAAAATGAATGCATAAATGAATAACCTTTCTTGTAATAACTTCTAGGTCATAGATTAATCGCATGCCAAGTAAAAGTTTGTATATATATATATATATATATATATATATATATATATATATATATATATATATATATATATATATATATATTTAAAGTGCAGTGGCGAAATTAACCAATAAGCGAGGTAAGCGGCCACTTAGGGCCCCAGGAAAATTTATGTAATTAAATATTAATTCATATAAAATAAAATGTAACGTTATGTAATAATAATATATTACAAAATATTATTATTATGTCTGTACAAATTTGTCCACCACCCCTAATCATGGAGCAGTCCAGCAGTCGAATTTATATATACAAAAAACACAAATAATTTTAGTTGTAAATTCATTTTATGAAAACTCATCGTTTAAAATGCAGACAATAGGTTTGAATGATATAAAAAAAACAGCTAAATTAATAAAAAAGTGTGGAGTTTGCATGTTCTCCCCGTGTTGGTATGGGCTTCCTCCGGGTGCTCTATAGCTACACATGCGCTATAGGTAAATTGGATAAGCTAAATTGTCTGTTGTGTGTGTGTGTGTGTGTGTGTGTGTGTGTGTGTGTGTGTGTGAATGAGTGTGTATGGATGTTTCCCAGTGATGGGTTGCAGCTGGAAAGGCATCCGCTGTGTAAAACATCTGCTGAATAAGTTGGCAGTTCATTTCCTTGTGGTGACAGTGGGATTAAGCTGAAGGAAAATGAATGAATAAATGTGAATATATAAATAAAAATATACTTACATATATATTTATATATTTAGTGTGTCTATTTCTACAGGATATTTCTGAATGTACTGTGTCTCTTTTACGTTCACTCTTCATTTATTTAATGTGACTCTTCATTTAACTGTTATATGGCGCACCAACCTCAAGAGGGCGCACGTGCAATACATATAAATCTTATATTAAGCATCTGCTTTTTTCACGTATTCTAGAGTTGGGGATATTAAATAAATAGCAGGTGCATTCTAAAAATTGATTCAAAACTCTCATGGTTTTGTTGTTGTTGTTGTTGTTGTTGCTACCCAATAAATTAAAGTCAAACTGAAGATCAGAGATTTAATGGGACAGTTGACACAAAAAATTAACACTCTGTCATCATGTACTCACTCACCCTTTAGTTTTTTAAAACTTTCATGAATATCTTCTGTTAAACATTAAGAAGATATTTTGAAAAATGCAGGAAATCTGTAACCATTGACCTCCATAGTAGACTATTTGTTTTCCCTACTGTGGAAGTCAATGGTTACAGGTTTCCAGCTACAGGTTGCCAGAGGTCAGGGGAGAATGGCCAGACTGGTTCCAGCTGATAGAAAGGCAACAGTAACTCAAATTAGCACTCGTTACAACCGAGCTCTGCAGAAGAGCATCTCTGAACACACAACACGTCCAACCTTGAGGCGGATGGGCTACAGCAGCAGAAGAGCACACCGGGTGCCGCTCCTGTCAGCTAAGAACAGGAAACTGAGGCTACAATTCACACAGACTCACCAAAACTGGACACTAGAAGATTGGAGAAACGTTGCTGCTCTGAGTCTCCATTTCTGCTGACACATTCGGATGCTCGGCTCACAATTTGGCATCAACAACATGAAAGCATGGATCCATCCTGCCTTGTATCAGCGGTTCAGGCTGGTGGTGGTGGTGTAATGGTGTGGGGGAGATTTTCTTTGTGCCCATTAGTACCAATTGAGCATCAACGCCACAGCCTACCTGAGTATTGCTGCTGACCATGTCCATCCCTTTATGAGCACAGTGTCTCCATCTTCTGATGGCTACTTCCAGCAGGATAACACACCATGTCATAAAGCTCAATCATCTCAGTCTGGTGAACATGACAATGAGTTCACTGTACTCAAATGGCCTCCACAGTCACCAGAGCTCAATCCAATAGAGCAGCTTTGGGATGTGGTGGAACGGGAGATTGGCATCATGGATCTGCAGCAACTGTGTGATGCTATCATGTCAATATGGAGCAAAATCTCTGAGGAATATTTCCAGTAGCTTGTTGAATCTCTACCATGAAGGATTGAGGCAGTATATATACACACACACTCACCGGCCACTTTATTAGGTACACCTTACTAGTACGGGGCTGGACCCCTTTTTTCCTTCAGAACTGCCTCATATATGTTCATATAGTGTGTGTTTATTTTCTGTCTTTTAAAGTAATGAGGTCCTACCAAATTAAGATTCTCAGTTTCTTAATTCGACAGCATTTCGTTTCATCATCGGCATGTTTATTTGATTACTATTCCCCATCCTCATCTTATTAATTGGAAGAATATTTCTCTGATAAATATATAGACTTGAAGGCGTTGTTCTACTGATTATATCCGCTACATTACTATACTGAAACTGTAAGTGAGGCAGTGTGGTGATTCAGTCTTCACCTTAATTAAAGAGAATAAAATGTATGAAACCAGACACAGATTGTGCTCCCCATCTGGAGCCATTATTTAAATGAAGGCGCAGCTCTCTGCATTGATCACATACATACATCAGCTCCACACATGCTGATGGCCTGTTGCTAGGAAACCATTGTGCAGCATCAGCAGCAGCCCATGTGTGCAGGAACGTGATGCGGATGCAGTATATCTGCGCACATAAAAACACTCTCTGCAAAATATTCAAAGGTAATCTTTTAATATCATCATAATCTGCAATATCTCTATGGAAAAGAAAGATCAACATAATACATACATTTACCAAATATACATTTCGATGCACGTGAAACAAACGAATGTGTGTTGAAATGGCCAAGTCCATCCGTCGTCCGATAACAAAAGACGAATTCTGAACGCAGAATGAAACACATCCATGCAGAGCAGCTGTAAATTACAGTTTAAATACAAGACGAGCAGTCCGTTCTTCGTTTAAACAGTCATGATATTATTAATATCACACAGAATATGTACTACGCTCTTATAAGAAACTATCATACATTTCAATTATAATACATGTTTTTTTTACACCCACGGCTTTGACTGCCTGCGTTAAACAATATACATGAAGGTCCACGAAGAGATATAAGAATGTGCTCGATGAGATTATTCAGTTAAATAGCTGATGACTATGTATACAGTTGAAGTCAGAATTATTGGCCCGTCTGTATCTTTTATTTCCCAATTTCTGTTTAATGGAAAGAAGATTTTTTTTCAACACATTTCTAATCATAATAGTTTTAATAACTCATTTTTAATGACTAATTTCTTTTCTCTCTGCAGTGATGACAGCACACAATATTTCGTCATCTTAGAATTATAAGGTTCTATCTGACATTTTTTGTCAAAATTGAGTTATTCACATATTCTTATTAAATGGCAACTTATTTAAATTATGTAGTTTTTTTAATAAGCTGTTTACATTTTCTACAAAGTCAAACTCTGGCTTGGCTCTATAAGGTTCTTTCTTTGAGCCAATCAGCATTTCGAATGCACACATGAGGACCAATCAGGATCAGCTTTCTTTGTCACTCCGCTGGACTGCTTTGTTGTTAAAAAAATTAAAAATATTAAATGTGAAATTTTTATTTGTTTGTGTATATAAACATATATTTATATACACACACAGACACACACACATATATATATATATATATATAGTTGCCATTGTCTGTTTTCTTTTAAAGTCTTTAAATTTGATTAAGCTTTGAAGGGAAAATGGTTATTCATTTTCTTTTCGGCTTAGTCCCTTTCTTAATCTGGGGTCGCCACAGCGGAATGAACCGCCAACTTATTCAGCACATGTTTTACACAGCAGATGCCCTTCCAGCTGCAACCCAACACTGGGAAACATCCATACACACTCATTCACACAGACATGCACTACGGATAATTGCACCCAGAGGAAACCCACGTGAACACAGGGAGAACATGCAAACTCCACACAGAAATGCCAACTGACCCAGCCGAGGCTCGAATCAGCGACCTTCTTGCTGTGAGGCGAACGTGCTACCCACTGCGCCACCGTGACGCTTGGTTTAATTAATTTGTGGGGTCTTAATTACAACAATAAAGATTATTAATAACATAATTTAAATCTGCACTGGCCAAAATATTCAGCACAGCCTTGTATGCTAAATTTGAACAAGGAAAAATTTCATCCTAAAACATTAAATAAATATTATAGAAAGAAAAATAAAGTACTTTCTCAAGCATCAGCATATTGTTACAACACCAATACTTTATTTTTTAAATTAAATTAATTAGTAGACTGGTTGTATTTCTTCAAAAGTCTTGCTTCAGTTAATTATCTGCCAGATAAAACCTTATTATTCCAAGTGGAATAAGACTTTTTAGAGTTGGAAGGTTCTATCTGCATTCACTGTGTTTGTTTTACCCCAAATTTAAGAGAATTTTGATAAATTTAGAGTACAAAGAGAACTGTCACACACATACTGTTTGCTATATGGAATGCTAAAACTTTGAAGCTCAATATCTCAAAATCGTTTAGAACGCAGATTGAACCTTATAATTCCAAGGTGTTGATTTGACTAGATTTTCAAGACTATTATTCAGATTAAAGAGACATTTAAAGGCTTCACTAGGGTAATTAGGGTAAAGTTAGGGTAATTAGGCAAGTCATTGTACAACAGTGATTTGTTCTGGAGACAATCCAAATCAAATATGCTTAAGGGGCTGATAATATTGACCTTAAAATCGCTTTAAAACAATTAAACCTGCTTTTATTCTAGCCTAAATAAAACAAATAAGACTTTCTGCTGAAAAAAAAAATATTATAGGAAATCCTGTGAAAATTTCCTGAATTTGTTATTAATCTTTTGGAAATATTTGAAAAAAAATAGGAAGGCGAATAATTCTGACTTAAACTGTATCTGACAATGTGTTGAACAATCATAATAATAACAATGCATAGCATCTGGAGTGAGAACAATATTCATAACGTCCCGATAATGTCCTGATAATCTCTTCTCAAATGTCTGAAAGATGAGTCCAAATGTCCAGCATCAGCTCCATGTTTCTTCATAAATCTGGAAAAATGTCCATTTCATCAAAGCGCTGATCAAAGTCCTCCTGAATAATTCTGCATGGCTTTGTTTGTACAAGAAAAGCACCCTGATTTCTGTGTCTCTGTGTGTTGTTCAGGGGTCGATGTGAAAAGCGAGGAGCTTCTCGGAGTGCTGGTTGTTGAGGGTTCGCAGGTCGGGCAGACGCAGCAGGAGTTTGGGGAAGAGCGAGCTGTCCTCTGGCCTTCTGCGGGTGATGAGAGCCCGAAGAGCTCCTATTAAATCCTCCTGGAGCTGCTCCACGGCCCCCATGTCTGATATACCTGAGCGATCTGGAGCAGAGTAAAATCATAGTGAGGAACACTGTGTTTGTTTTGATGAATGCCATGTAAATGTGATCCTTAACCCTATTATGCCCCTTTTTACAAGATGTAAAATAAGTCTGATGTCCTTAGAGTGTGTAGCTACAAAATCATCCCACTAGATATGAAATGGTGACTTCTTTACTAATAAAGCCTTTCAAGTTCTGTTGAAATTTGTATAAATAAAATATTGCCTTTTTTTTTTTTTACAATCTCCTGCAATCCTAATGTACTTGCATGTGATGATTCCCTCAGCCACTTGGAACTGAACATACCTGCAGAAACCAGCACCACAGCCATGAAGAGGGCCATCTCGTCGGCCTCCAGACCCATGCTGCCCAGCTTCTCGCTGAACTCAAACATGGCATCCAGGAGGTTTCCCATGCCCAGCACTCGCAGGTATGACAACGGGTACGTTTGACCGTTCAGGAATGTTACAGTGCGTTCCTTAGCATTGAACAGCGAGCAGAATCTCACCATCAGAACCTACAATGAAGACAAAAAGTGATGCTGATCAGAAATCTGTGGTGTAAACCACTAAGCAATTACCCATTGGATTAAATAATGTTTGAACATTTTTATCATTAGGAGCTGATTATATTCACACGACTGTATTTAAACCCCTTATCAAGGTGATTTTTGTATAATATCTCTCCTTTTAAAGGGATAGTTCACTCAAAGATGAAAATTACCTTGAAATTACATTAAACACACACTGTAAAAAATGCAGGGTTCCACACAGTTCATTCATATTGTTCCAACAAAAATCGATCAAGTTAACTTAAAAAATTTAACACATTTAAGTAGATTAAACATTTAAAAAGTTAAGTTATTTCAATTAAATCTCAAGAATTGTGTTGCTTCAGCTCCTTTTAAATAAGTAGTTTGAACAGCAACATTTTCTTTATTGAGTGCAAAGGAAGATACTTTGAAGAATGCTGCCACCTGCTGATGTAATCCACTTTGCATTAACTCATTGGATTAAATGATATTGGAACCAATTGATAAAACTGAACCGAACCATGCACAGTCACAATCATATGTCAGCCACTACATTAGTTTTAGTGCTCTTCAAGTGAAAATAAAGACTTTTTTGCTTGTAGAAAACTGCACTTAGACATTTTGTTGAAAATATGACTGTATGTTGCTTGACGTACATTGAAATAATGCAAATAGTGCTGCATTTCAAATGGTGTATGTCAACCTCCAAAGGGAACTTTGTACTGAGGCTTGCTCCAAACAGAAGTGTTCAAGACCGTACACTTTGTTGTTCAGTGTTTTAAAGAGTACATGTCAAAGACACTTTATTTTATGAAGGATATTACGCAAGGCTTTCTTTGTAGAGGGTAGAGAACACTAGAAATGGATTCGGGGAAAGGATTGAGCCCTTCAAGACATAATCCAGCCTGGCTAATAAAATAAAGAAGCTTCTGTTGTTTTTAACCGATTCCTCGAAATGAATCCTTCAATGAAACAATTCAAGGAAATGTGTCTGAATCTGATTTCTATGATCATCCCTATTGGAAAATTCCACGCAAACCAGCATCAATTGTGCGTTGTTTATGCTGCATAGTCATGCAAAGCTGAACTGGTTCAACTGGTCAACCAGAACTCCAGCTTCCAAAGCTGATGACCAGCAATCAGTGCTCTATGCTGGTCCCAGCATGCAAAACATATCTTAAGTTGGTGACTGGCAATGCTAGAGTTTTCAACAGGAATAAACGTTCTCAAATCATTCCTTCTTAAAGGAACACGAATTTTTCTACTGCCCTGGAGTTAAACAGTTGAGATTTACCATTTGTGATTCCGTTCAGCACATCTCTGGGATTGACAGGAGGATGTTTAGCTTAGCTTAGCATAAATCTTTGAATTGGATTAGACCATTAGCATCTTGCTTTAAAATGCCTGAAAATCAGCTGGCTAGCTAGCTAGGAGCTATACTCTCATTCTGGCGTAATAATCAAGGAACTTTGCTGATGTACAATGACTCCAGCAAGAGCATTGATATTATGCAGTGCATGGAAATCAGCTAGCTTCCATCAATATAACCAAACATTTTCAAAACTCTTTGATCATTTTAAAGATAGATGCTAATGGTCTAATCTGATTTAATGCTAACTAAGCTGGAGCATGCTTAGCTTAGCTTAGCATAAATCATTGAATCAGATTAGACCATTAGCATCTTGCTTTAAAACGGCCAGAGTTTTGGTTATTTTCCTATTTCTTTTTAAAGATTGATTCTTTTTGTGGTTACAAAGACTGACAGAAAATCCAATTTTCTAGGCCAATATGGCTGTTGGATCTATACTCTCATTCTGGTGTAATAACTTTTCTGACATAAGCAAAAGTATTGTGCAGTACCTGAAAATCAGATTCTGTCAATATAACCTAAAATTCTTGAAATTTTTTTGATCATTTTAAAATGAGATGCTAATGGTCTAATCTGATTCAGTGATTTATGCTAAGCTAAGCTAAAGATTGGCTAAATGGATAAAAAAAAAATGGTAAAACTCAAAGACTTTAACTCTAGGGGAGATATAAAATGAGGGCAGTGTCCTTTCAATCACATAGATCAAGGTTAAGACAGTTGGGTCATAAGTGATCTGACTGGGTCGTTTCTCACCTGAAAGGTTCCCGCCTTCAGCAGCATGACCTGATCATGTTGACTCAGGGCCTGAAACCCAGGTATGCTCTTGGCAAATTCAACCACTTCTTTAACAGCGGGAGTGAAGCACTGCGAGAAACTCTCCCAGACCTGCTGGCTGGAGTGACTGGCTGAGGAAACGGGACATGCGTTCAGAGGACAGGCCTGGAGAAACGCAGAAACACAATTAGTTCACTGCAGGCTTATGCCGATATCAAATATTCTAGTTGCTATAAATTGATGAAAGTTTTATTAGGATATTGACCTCAGCTGTGTAATAAGAAATGTAAAAACAGAGTTATCGATGATCAGCTCGTGTTTAGTACACTGAGTTGCTGATTTAAAATCAGGAAAACCTACCAGAACTTTAGCACCAGGGCTCAGTCTCCATGGACAAGACTGCGTCTGAGTGGAATAGCTGTTGTGTTTAGTGGGATAGCTTTGAGTAGGTGTTGTTCCCTGGCTGGGACTTGAGGACTGTGGGAAGTTATAGTGACCGTTGTCCAAAACTTGAGATGTGGGTTTGTTGTTTTGGTTGGCGACCGGACATCTGGATTGGGCGAGGCAGCTGGTCGTGGAATGGACTGAATGTTCTTGTGCGGAGATATTCGGCTGAGGGTGAGACTGGACGTAGCCGGACTCTTGCATGGGATGGTGCCGGAAGGAAGATGGATTGTTGTTGTTATTGACGTTGTTTTCTTGGTCAACTTTAACTTGCAGCTTTTCGCCGTTCACGAAGATGTTACGATACGCCTGCGAGATCACGCCGATGGACTCTTCTGATTGGCCGTCCTCAGGGCTGCTAGGGGTCTCGGTGGGTGTTGTACAGCCGATGTCCATAGATGCTGACTCATTAAGGCTGTTCATGTAGCTCTGCATTTCGTCTAGCAGCCGCTGTTTCTCACGCTTCGGAATGCGTCCAAATCGCACAGCTAGAAGAAAGCAGGGATATATATAAAGATGTGCAATCCAAATGTTTTCAGCTTTGTAATAAAGCAATGAGGTGATAAAGCTGCTTTGAAACAATAATTATTGTGAAAAGCGGTATCCAAATTACCTTGAATTGACATTTACCATTTGGTTTTACTACTATAAATGATGCATTTTGGCAGTAGGACTACTATATTGACCAATCAATTCATATGATCCTTCATAGCAGATTACGGCTGCTCGCCAAAGCTTATTTCTCTCATGCATCTTCCATCTCCCCCTACTCTTAAAGCTATTTATAGCCTCTACTACTGTATTATACCCCTCCCCCATCCTTCTGTCTCTAACCCATTGGGAAGTGGGTCAGTGGGTCGACCCAAGCAGAGGTGATGTCATTGAGCGATGGAGTAAATGGCAGCAGGTGAAATAAACACCGGCATGAGGTAAAGGGTTAGCAGGTTAAAGGTGAAGAGAAGACAGTAGATTAGTTGGTGGTGAAATGTTGCAGGGCAAAGGAACGTGATTTGGTGATAAACAGGACTGATAAGGAGCACCGATGGTTGTGCAATGAGAAATGCCTTCGTTTAAGCTGCCAGCACAAGCATAACCTTTCCATGTATTGGAATAAAAAGAAATAAGACGTGTCACGTACATAACGGAGAGATGTTACATACACAACAAAGCTTTACCCTCTTAAATGCTAAAATTATTATTATTTTATTGTTCTATAAAGAGCCAAATCTTATCCTCCCCGTTTATTTTGTTTAAAAGATTTTAAAGGAATGTAAAAATACTATTTTTGAAGCTATTATATTTTTAAAACTATTTTATTAGATTTATTAAATTCAAACAAGTGCAAATGTGTGAGGTCACGTACATAAAGCTTTTTCCTCTTAAATGCAAAGTCATTATTTATTTTTCGTTCTATAGAATCAAATCTGAATTTTAAATCATATCTAACTGCAAACCTTGCTGTACATTAAAATTAAAGCAAAATATAGCTATAAAATATAGTCTTTGTAAATTCTTTGTAAATTGTTTGTAGATGTTACAGTAATGTAAAAATACTCAATGTTCTCTGTCAATGTTTTTAAACTATTTTATTTGATTTATTAACCTCAAACAAGTGTAAATGTGTGACGTGTCACATACATAACGGAGAGATGTCACATGCACAACAGCTTTTTCCTCTTACATGCAAAAATTATTATTTTTTTGTTCTATAGAGGCAAATCTTATCCTCCCTTTGCATTTTGTTTAAATCACATATTACTGCAAATTTTGCTGTATATTAAAATATAGTGAAATATAGCGAAAGTCTTTGTAAATTGTGTAGATTCTAAAGTAATGTAAAAATACTCAATGTTCTCTGTCAATGTTTTTAAACTATTTGAGTTGATTTATTAAAGGCAAACTAGTGCAAATGTGTGACATGTCACATACAAAACGGAGAGATGTCACATACACAACAAAGCTTTTTCCTCTTAAATGCATTTTTTTGTTCTTTAAAGAGACAAATTTTATCCACACTTTTATTTATTTTTTTAAATCAAATATAACTGCAAATCTTGCTGTAAATTAAAATAAGTCGGAATATAGCAAAAGCTTTGTAAGTTGTTTGTGGAGATTTTGCTGCAATCTAAAAAGACTCAAAATGCTCTCTGCCTATGTTTTTAAACTATTTTATTTGATTTTATTAAAATAAACAAGTGCAAATGTGTGTGTCACATACATAAGGGAGAGATGTCACATACACAACAAAGTTTTTTCCTCTTAAATGCAAAAATTATTATTGTTATTCCATAGAGAGCCAAATCATATCCTCCCTTTGCATTTTGTTTAAATCACATATTACTGCAAACCTTGCTGTATATTAAAATAAAGCTAAATATTGCGAAAGCCTTTGTAAATTGTTTGTGTAGATGTTACAGTAATGTAAAAATACTTAAACAGGGTCTCTGCTGATGTTTTTAAACTATTTAAGTGCAAATGTGTGACTTGTCACGTACATAACGGAGAGATGTCACATGCACGACAAAGCTTTTTCCTCTAAAATGCAAATATTTGTATTATTATTGTTATTCTAAAGAGAGTCAAATCTTTTCATAAGTATTATTTCAGTTAATTTACATAATTTCAGCAAAGTATGTTGTGTATTGTTATCACGCATACTTTTTTGGTCACATGCATAACGCATGTTTAATTCCCTCATTTAAAATGTAAAACACATTTACAGATTGATATTTTTATGATCCTGATTTCTAACTTGGTAGTTAGTTGTGTTGTAAAATATATAGAGAAGTTTCAATATACAGTTAACATATAAATATACAATGTTTTTACTGCAAATGTCACATCCATAACACTGCAATTGCTCAAAACAAGATCTTTAGTTCTGTAATGTTGCAAGACTTTTGTGTGCTAGTGTGTGTGTGTGTGTGTGTTTAGAGGTGTCATGTCACCAACTATCACGTGAAGGTGTAAAGCAAGATGGCAAGGTTTCAGGTGACAAGTGACATAATGTATTGTATCTAATGCGCTGTATAGTATTAGCTATTCTGAAAACACCCTAAAAGGAGAAATCAATAGACGTCCTTAAACAGTATATCTTTTAAATTAATTGAAAATCTAGAGTAATTACAGCAAGCATGGCTAAAGGGGAACAAAAAAATAAGGTCATCATGTGACGTTGAAATATGATGGTGCATATCACTTTACTTTCCCGCTTTTTAGGTCACCTAAATATGTACACTAGCCCCAGAAAATATGATTTATTATCAGCCCAGTTTACAGGGCTCCCCGGAGACGACGCTTGGGCAAAGTGTGCTAGAGGACAAAACCGAAGAGGTATTTTAGCATGGGTTTCCAATTGAAATAAAGGGCTTAGATCGACAAAGCACTCTATTAAATCCCAGCTAGCGTTTAGGTTTTAATTAATCCTGCAAACGAAGACCTGGAAACACATTAAACTGCAGTGTACTAGGTGTACTCGGGCCATTTGTGTCCCCAATTCCCCAAATTAACCTGATTTGCTGCAGTTTGCACAGTGAGTGATGACTTGTGGGATTTCGGAGTACCCGCACTAATAAATCAGCGCTGTGAGGGAACTGTCAGAACAGGGTGTAAGGCATCGCTGCAAACAGTACAGAGCAGATGGTGGATGTCGGGTCGAGAAAATAAAGCCGAGAAATGAAAGTATGTTGGAGATGCGCAGATCGAGGAGTGCTGAGTAGTCGAAAGGTGTTTGTTTACTGACCCAACAGCATTCCTAACACCAAGCATGTGTAGTTATACATTCCTTAAGTGCTTTTCTTACTTAGATTTTTTTTTGTCTTGTTTCATGTTTCACCCCAAATATCTAAACAACTCTTAAATCGGGAAACATTTTCTAGACAGCTAGACAGTCTTGTTTTCACAAAAAAAAACTCTGAAATTTAAGATTTAAGCAAGATTTTCCTTCAAGAAACCTGTTTATCATTATTTTGATTACTCCACTAGCAGATTATTTAAAAAAAAAAGCATGTGTAGTAACTCTAATGCTAGTCTTAATGGACACTCACTGGCCACTTTATTAGGTACGCCTATCAAACTGCTGGTTAACGCAAATTTCTAATCAGCCAATCACATGGCAGCAGCTCAATACATTTAGGCTTGTAGACATGGTCAAGACAATTCGCTGCAATTCAAAGCGAGCATCAGAATGGGGATTTAAGTGACTTTGAATGTGACATGGTTGTTGGTGCTAGACAGGCTGGTCTGAGTATTTCAGAAACTGCTGATCTACTTTCTATTTTCATGCACAACCATCTCTAGGGTTTATGGAGAATGGTGTGACAAAGAGACAATTTACAGTGTGCGGCAGTTCTGTGGGCGCAAATGCCTTGTTGATGTCAGAAGTCAGAGGAGAATGGCCAGACTGGTTCCAGCTGATAGAAAGGCAACAGTAACTCAAATAAGCACTCGCTACAACCGAGCTCTGCAGAAGAGCATCTCTGAACACACAACACGTCCAACCTTGAGGCGGATGGGCTACAGCAGCAGAAGACCACACTGGGTGCTGCTCCTGTCAGTTAAGAACAGGAAACTGAGGCTACAATTCACACAGACTCACCAAAACTGGACAATAGAAGATTGATGAGTCTCCATTTCTGAGATTGGCATTATGGACGTGCAGCCAAAAGATCTGCAGCAATTGCATGATGCTATCATGTCAATATGGAGCAGAATCTCTGAGGGATATTTCCAGTACCTTCTTGAATCTATGCCAGGAAGGATTTAGGGAGTTTCGGAGGCAAAAGTGGGTTCAACTTGGTACTAATAAGGTGTACCTAATAAAGTGGCCAGTAAGTGTAGTCATACATCGGACAAATAAAAAAATATCTAAAAGATTTTTATTCAAACAAGCAAAATAAACCTGTTTTTATATAATTTTGATTACTCCACTGCAGATTATTTTGAGAAACTTTTTTTTTTTCCTGAAAACTAAATATTTTTAACTTGTCATGAAAATCTTTCTTGATTTAATAATTTTTAGATAGATTTGGACCACAGCATTCTAAGTAAATCATGTTTTTTGCATCGAACCAGGAATAATAATGTTGTATATTTACCATCTCTGGACATGCCGACGGAGAGGCACTTCTTAAAGCGACAGTGCTGGCAGCGATTGCGGTTCATCCTCATGATCAGACAGTTTTCGTTCTTCACACACATCTTATAATGGATGTTCTGCTGGATGCTACGGCGGAAGAAGCCCTGAGGACAACACAAGATCAGAGTCAATCTCTCTGTCTGTGTGTGTGTGTGTGTGTGTGTGTGTGTGTGTGTGTGTGTGTGTGTCTCTGTGTGAGAGTAAAACCTCAGGCACAAGTCAATGGCGACATCAGACATTATAAGCACATCAGTTATGCATTTTGAGAAGATTTTATGAGTGAGCAGTGTGTGTGTGTGTGTGTGTGTATGTGTGTCCTCACCTTGCATCCCTCACACGCATGGACACCGTAGTGAAATCCTGATGCAATATCCCCGCATACTTTGCAAAGCAACACCATACCTCCAGTTTCTAGTAACACAGATTGACAACAATGTGTTAGCAGTGGCTAATGGTCGCAGTGCTTAAAGGGTTTGTTCACCCAAAAAATGTACTCCATTTACTCAAGTGGTCCTAGTGATCAGATTATTTTACCGACTTTGACCTTTGAGCCTCATTCAGCGAGATGAATGAATCTTTTTTTGAGCCATTTGAATCAATTTGCCAATCCATTTGAATCAAATCAATTTGGAGTTGCACATCTATGACTGACCCAAACATTCACATTAGTCATAACTAGAGTGGTATTTACCGGGGTCTTTTGTCTATGATTAGCTCAAGTCTTCAAGTTTGAGTTCGTAATTAGTTCACCTTTCTAGTCTTTAAGTTTTTGATTCGTTCATTCATCATGTGACCACATATAAAAAGACGAATGACTCAAGGACTTCGGAGATGAATGGATCAAACCTTTATCGGTCTTTGTCTGCATATGATTGGATTCTGTCTGTCATGTGATGAACGAACGACTCAACCACAGTAGAAGACTCGGAAATGAACTAATCTGATCACCTGTGCAATTTGCCAGTGTGCTAATGAACGAATCATTCCAGAGATGAATCATTGTTCACTTTTAAGATTCATTGATTCATATCATTGTGGTTCCAAACCTTTATGAGTTTCTGTTCTTCTGTTTAACACTAAAGAAGATATTTTGACGAGAGCTGAATCCATTGATACACTGTAAAACCCAACAGTCAACTTTATCAAATGAAACGAGTGCAGCTAACTCAAAATTGACAGAAAGTTAGTTCTACTCATTTGAAAAGAGTTTTGAACTCCGTGTTGAAGGTAATTAAACATCTCATTACTTCAACTTAAATGGAGTAAGCTAACAGTACTCGTATAGATTAGTTTTTTTTAACTCAAATAGTTTGTAGCAATCGGTTTCCTCAAACGGTTTAAGTTGCCTTAACTTATTGGGTTTTACAGTACTCAGCTGGTTTGAGTTCTCTTCATTTATTAGGTTTTACTGTGATCAAATTGCTTCGTTTACTCTAATAGATTAAGTTCACAGCACTCATTAGGATTAGATTGTTAACTTAAATGGTTTGTTGCAATCGATTTCCTCAAATGGTTGGCGTTACCTTAACTAGAGTTTCACAGTGTAGTATTACAATCAAATACTATTGAAGTCAATGGTTACAGGCTTCCAACGTTTTTGTGCTCAGCAGAAGAAACTCAAACACAGTTGTCAGCAAATGCTTTACCAGAACAAGATCAAAGAAAATCAGAAAATAAGCATCTATAAAACAATAATATACATATAAAATATTGTTATATTTGATTTAATAATAGGTATAAGCTATTGATATCGGTAAATTATGTTATGCTAGTGTTGTTAATGCAGTTTGGTCGAACTGATGTAGGATTTTTATTCACTCATTCATTTTCCTTCAGCTTAGTCCCTTTATTTATCAGGGGAAGGACCCGCCAACTATTCCAGCATATGTTTTATGCAGCGGATGCCTTTCTAACTGCAACCCAGTACTGGGAAACACCCATAGACACTCATTCACTACGGTCAATTCACCTATACAGCGCATGGGGAGAACATGCAAACTCCACACAGAAACTGACCCAGCCAGAGCTCAAACCAGTGACCTTCTTGCTGTGAGGCCACAGTGCTAACCACTGAGCCACCATGCCGCCCAGGATTGTTATAATAATAATAATTTTTAAAGGTTTTTCGCACTTTAATTTAGCATAATTAACAGTGCTAAGGATGGTCATTGGTTGTGTTGTGTGCTTTTTTTTTTGAGTGCAAATTCTTCTGTACTTTAAATTTGGTCTTAAATTTCATCATGTGGTATTAAAAAGGTCTCAAAACATCTTAAATGAGTAAATCCTGAATCATTTTCAGTTTTGGATGAACTACCGCTTTAAATGCAACAACTTTTAAAGACATACATGAAGAAGATTTTACGGTGTGGTAATACTCACTGGTAAATGTTCCCGTGAACCCGGTGGGTCGTCTGCCAACCATTGGGTGCGAGTAGGAGTTTTGTCCTGATGAAGTTACGGTTGGCGTAACCGCGTTGACCGTGTTAGCACTGCTTACTTCTGGAAACTGGAAGACCAATTTGTTTCCCCCATTGCCTCCAGATGAATGCTTTTTAAGGGCTCCGAGCTCAGTGAAGGACACCTCCTCTGGGGACGAGGGCTGAGAGGATGGAGATTGGGTCTGATAGCCGCTGGATGGACTTCCTGGGCTGGGACTGGCACTTCCCGTCGATCCTGCATAGAGGATCACACTTCCACCTGTGTGTGAGAAAAAAAAAAGGGAAAAGACGATGAATATTTCATGAGAAGTTTTTTTTAGTCATAATATTCTATAGAATGGGTTTGTAGGTGTTTCAAGGGCCTCTTTTTACAAGATGTAAAATAAGCCTCTGTTGTCTCTAGAGTGTGTGTGTGTGTGTGTGAAGTTTGAGCTCAAAACACTATAAATAATGTGTTATAACAGTCTGAAACTGACCCTTTTAGACTTTGAGCCTAAATGTGGTGTTTTGGTGACTGTCGCTTTAAATTTAAATGAGATTGTGCTCTTTTCAGTAGAGGGAGGAGCTATAAATGCCTGTGTGTCAGCAACTCTAATGGTGGACGGCTTCTTCTCACTCAGGGCTTTTTTTATGCTAATGAGGATGAGATTGTCACTAGTGGGCGGGGTTTTACCCCTCTTATGACATGTACAATTGGAGAATGTCAGTCAAAGTGTTTCTGCAGACTGTTTTAATCAAGTGTAATTGTACAAAAATGAACACATCTTTACAATTAGTAGCTGGTTATAAGTTTAAACCCCTTATAAACGTGCTTTAAAGCAATGTGCCAGTTATGATATTATTCAATACATGGTACAAGCTGATTGGTTTCTGGTACATCAGATGCGAATCAGCTTGCATGCTCAACTGATATGAATAATCAGGTTTAGTGTTTGCTAAAAGCTGATGCTGTAGCTTCAGAGTTATTCTAAAGGCCTCGACATCCTCCTGCTCCACTTATGTAGATATTATAGGGATGCACTGGATTTTTGGCTGAAAGAGAAGAACTGCCGGAAATATGAGCTGAAAAAAGGACTATGCTGTGCCATACTGTGTTCAGTGGACTGGTTTCAGCTGTTTTCACTGTGTAGTGACTTTCACACTGGACACAGAAAGTGCTGCACTGCACTAAAAAACCCATTCATTTCAATGGCTTGTGTCGCACAAGGAAGACTTATTGCTGTAGCAACCAATGCACTATCCACATGCCTCATGGTCAAAGTGGCTCAGTATTCCTCTCATGTTTATTTATCTATGAATGAACTGAATGTGCTCATCTGAAAAGCTCAACTCATGCATGTTTCTAAATAGCATACTTGTTTCTACTGCTTGCATTAGCAATACTGTGCTGTCATGGCAATGCTATTAAAATCATGCCTCTCGACCCATTCACTGTCAATACATTTTTACTCTCAATTAAATGTGGTTATTTTAATAATTTTTTTAAATTAGTGTAATTCAAATTGAGTTCAATTTAAAAGTCTTATTTTAAATTATTAAATGTAATACATAATTATTAAGTTTTTGGTTTACGGTAATATTTATTTCGGTGCATCCCTTACACTTTGACTTACTTCATGCTATTTTTAACTAAGTGTGTCTGTGGATTGACAGTAGCAGGTCTCTGCACTTGCTCCACAGCAGCAGGGATAAACAGCAGAGACAGATCTAGTCTGCCAAGATCAAGTATATTAATATATATCATACCAAATAATACTAAACTATTCCAAGAGTTGTCATGAGAGAAGTACCTCTGTATATTTTGTAGGCCCACACAAAATCAGAATTGGGAGAATTTTTTTGTTATGATTTATTCTATGCTCTATTTATTAATGCAATATCAATATTTAGTATATGAATATATATTTAGGTAATATTTAATATATCAAGTAGAGTCACACTTTAGTTCTACGTATTTTGCATATTTGGCAGAGTTTGGAAAAAATGTCATTTAAATGGTGCTTTTATGCAAAATAGCTAATAATTGTGGTCGGTTATATCTTGTTAACTTGTGCTGTATATACATGTGCTGTATGATAATGAAGCCAGATGAGTCTCGAAAACAATATATTTGCAAAAATAAAACTCATACATACAAAGCACAATTCACATTTACAAAATCCAATTCGTAAATTAAAAATTCACAAGTAAAAATCATAAATATTTCCTCAAATTAATTGATCGTGTGCATTTACGAATTGTGTTTTGAATTTCCGAATTGTGTTTTGAATTTACAAATTGTATTTGCGTATTTTCCGAATTGGGTTTTGCATATTTACGAATTGTGTTTTGAATTTCCGAATTGGGTTTTGAATTTACAAATTGTATTTGCGTATTTTCCGAATTGGGTTTTGCATATTTACGAATTGTGTTTTGAATTTCCGAATTGGGTTTTGAATTTACAAATTGGATTTGCGTATTTTACTAATTGTTTTTTGCATATTTACAAATTAGTTTTTAAATTTACAAATTGAATTTGCGTATTTTACGAATTGGGTTTTGAATTTACGAATTAGATTTGCACATTTCATGAATTGGGTTTTGAATGTACGAATTGGATTTGCGTATTTTACAAATTGTGTTTTGCATATTTACAATTTGGATTTGCATATTTTACAAATTGTGTTTTGAATTTACAAATTAAATTTGCGTGTATCACAAATTGTTTTGCAAATATACAAATTGGATTTGCGTATTTTACAAATTGTGTTTTGAATTTACAAATTAGATTTGCCTGTTTCTGATTTGTGTTTTGAATTTATGCATTGGATTTGCATATTTTATGATTTGTGTTTTGCGTTTACAAATTGGTTTTTTATATTTATGAATTGTGTTTTAATTTAATGAATTGGATTTACATAATTATGACTTGTTTTGAGTTTTCAAATTAAATCTAGTAAATGTCAATTGTGTATTTTTTAAAAATGTATTATTTTTAAGACTGATCTGGATACATATATGACTGCATGCCAAAACAGACATTATTCAAACAGACAGCCCTGAAATAATGCTAATTGTTATTGAAATGACTGACAACTCATTTTAGGTATCAGTTCTTTATTTTGTGAGACAAAACTCCATTTATCTGCACTCTAATATGTGTAATTATTCAGACCATTGATATTCACAAACTCTGCATAATATCAGTATCAGCTTAATAGGATCGTTTTAACTGAATGGGATTGTCAATGGTTTACGGCTGTGTGGATGTGGTCTGTCAATAAATAGATCTGTTTTTGTCCAGAGCGGTGGAGTGTGTTCAAAACACTTCAACGTAAACTCGGAAATGCCTCACATGTTTGATCCCTGCATTACTCTCAGTCTGTGGCTCATCCTTCAGCATGAATCACATGTTTCAAACAGCGCCAGGGTAAGGTTCAAACATGTGAGAAAAGATCCAGAGCGCCTCACGTGCAGCGCTGGGGAATCCGATTCACTTCAGAGAGTCGATTCACTTTGTTTGAATCTTCGCTCTAGTCAGGCGCGGTCATGCAAGTTAAATATTGACATTATACTGTTGTGTTTTTGGATTAGGTTTTATCTCTCTGCATTTACAATACTGTTGTTGATCATGCTTCCTGTAATTTAGATAAGACACTTAGAATGTAAATGCTTATTATTATTACAGTAGCCGTGCTACTATTTGCACAGGATTCCAACCCAGCTGTATCCATAATTTTATCATTTTGATTAAATATCGTGTCACTTACTGAAATATAATTTATGTCTTATTTTTTATTGCATTGTATTCATGTTTAATGCTTCAAGTAACAGACATGTATTAACTAATTTATTAATGCTTTCTCCTCGAAATGTCCTCTCATTTCTTTATGAATGCATGCACCAATTTATTTATTAATATATTTCTATTAATGCTTCCTCCTCGAACTGTCCTCTCGATTTTATATGAATGCATGATGCACCAATTTATTTATTTATTCTCCCTCTTCGAACTGTCTTCTCGTTTTTATATGAATGCATGCACCAATTTATATATTAATATATTTCTATTTATGGGTCCTCCTTGAACTGTCCTCTAGTTAAATGTGAATGCATGCACTAATTTATTTATATTTATTAACGCTTCCTCCTCGAACTATCCTCTCATTTCTTTATAAATGCATGCACCAGTTAAATTATTAATATATTTCCATTAATGCTTCCTCCTCGAACTGTCTTCTCGTTTATTTTTAGTGCATGCACTAATTTATTTGTTCCTTCTATGTCGAATATGCCTCATTTTGATTCAGTTTACCCTTAAACTAGTACAATAATAGACTGTAAAACCCCCCTCTCAAGCAATAATAGCAAAGAACCGACTCAAAAGATCTGTTTGTTTGCGAATGCAAAGCGCTCTCGCTCTGCACCCCCGCCACGCGCACGCGCTGCTCGCTCCCGCTCTCCCTCTGCCAGCCACCTGACCGCGGACTCACATGCTCTCCTGACACAGTGAACGCCCCGAAGAACAAGCCTCTTTCCGCAGTCCCGTGTCCAGAACAGCCGCAGTACGAGAGAGAAACACACACACACACACACACACTGCCAGCCTGCTGCTCACGTTTGAAGAGGGCTTAAAACAGTAACCGAGGCCATATTTCTGAGCCCGTGTGTTTATAATACTTGAGTCACCGGAAACTGGAGAGCGCACATGCATGAACGTGCGCGGTCACGTTTGCACGACATACGAGCGCGTTTTGTTTTTCTCCGTGTTCTCCCAACCCGTTTCACCTTTTCTCACTTGTTTTTAAAACGTGAGGACTCACAAACGACACAGATAAGACTGTTAATCACCTACAGTCGAGTTTAACACATTCATACGACGTACAATAATTAACCCAGCCGCCATTAAACTCAAGGAACGATGACTCTCTTCTGTGAGGGAAAACAGACTGCTCTGTAATGGTGTCTGCCAATTGAATACTGTTCATGGAATATCTATGTAGATTATTTAGATAGTATAGTGACTTTGGATGGATTTTAATAACAATAGTAGGCTATAAATGTTTATGTTTACTGTGCTATGCCTTCATAAACTGACTAGTTTGATTATATTATAAGTACTGACTACCATTCGTTCAACTGCTTTCTATTTATGAATTATTATTAATAATCAGTAATTTTTTGTTGATATTTTAACTTTGACAACATAAATGTCTACAATATTGAGTATTTATGCTCAAATAAAGGCAAATCCTTTCTGAAACCTTCATTAATTCTTGA